ATCGGAATTGGGCTTATAATATATCGTTGGAAAGCTCTTGTCAAGCCCCATCCAACTACGCTACTATTGGACCCATATCATGGACCAACCAAACTGGATTGGCTATTTTCTTAAAATAAGTTTTCAAAAACAGAGAGAAGAGAAAAGAAATTAAAACTATCCGCAACGCTAGACTTTCCACACTTTCGCTTCATTCGATTATGATTCGACATGAAAGGTACTCATCACTGGGTTTGGTTTTGGGGAGACACAAATGGGTGTCTACAGTATGGTTTGATGGTTTTAAGTGATTTCATTTGAGTTTTCAAGTTGTTTGTGGTTGTGGTTTCTTTCTGTTAATTTAAGTCTAAAATCTTCTATTTCTTATTTGAGGGAGAATTGCTAGTTGCTCCCCACTGATTGTGGAACGTTGTTATAATTTGAAGGTTTCTGTAAGCTGATTGTTTAAGTACTTTGAATTTTGTTTGGTTTGATTTTTGTTTGGACGATAAGGGTTGTTCTGCCCTTGGCTTTTGAATGTAATTGATTAGTCCATGTTTAAGTTCGTTTGTTATTTTCTTTTGTTCACTTAGTTTGTGCTTAGCTTAAATAACTTAATTTGGATGTGTGAATGAGTTAAATTTGACCTTTAGACCTAGGTTAAGCTTGACTTTTTCTAAACGGAGTTAAGTAGCCTCCCGTTCAGGCGTAATTCCGCTAACGCTTCCAGTTCCAAAAGAACAGGGTGTTACAAACACCCTAGTTCAAGGCTATGCCTAGAAGATAGGGAATGGAGAGAGTGTGCAAATTGCAAATATGAAGTGGGTACAGGGTACTGTTCCAGAGCTGAAGTCGGATCTTATTCTTCGTGGTGTCGGCTCTGGCAGGGTTAAAGATCTCTTAATTCATAATCCAAGACAATGGAATGTAGCTATTGTTTGAGATAGGTTCGATTGGGCTACAACAAAAAGGATTCTAGAGATGGAACTGCCAGAGTCGGATGAGAAGGATTTACTTTTCTAGAATTATCACCCGTCGGGCAACTATATTGTTAAGTCTGGGTATGTTTCTCTAATGCGTCATTTATCTTTAGAACAGGTACATGAGCAGGATGTTTCCTTTTTCAAGCTCATTTGGAGCTTGAATATTCCTTCTAAATGGAGTCTCTTTTTATGGAAGCTGGTTATGAATGGCTTAGCTGTCAATTCCAACCTGCAACATCAAGGGGTGGATATAGATGGGGTTTGTGACTCTTGTGGAATAGAGGATGAGGATTTACAATACCTTTTTAGGTTTTGTTCCTTTGCGAGGTATGTTTAGCAGAATTGCGATCTGCATATCAACTTTGAAATGGATGAATCTACTCCGTTGAGACACTAGATTCAGCAACATATCCTGCTTCTTCATAGCGAGGATGGGAGACAATGTGATCGACTTCATACTTTTATGGGAGTATTGTGGAGTCTTTGGTTAACAAGAAACGGTAGGGTTTTCATAAACGAAAAGGGGTGTCTGGCAGATTATTATAGATATTACACACAAACGATGGATAATCTGAACTCGTTTCTCAAACCAAATGTACGATCCAACGGGGTCTTACGCAATCTGGATTGTAATGGGGATCGCCCCCCGATTTCAGCAGATTCAACATTAGAAAACACAAAATTCTTCCTGGGAGCCCACTAGAGGGAATTGTTAACGTTACAATCATGGTCGATGGTTCTTGGAAGCAGAATACGGGGCATGCAGGTTTTGGTTGGGCATACTTCTTGGATTGTGTTAATTTCTTGGATGGAGGAGGGGAGTATGGGATGGCTATTTCGGCCTTACATGCGGAAATGTTAGGATGAGTACCTTTCACGATTTATTTTGGGGAGACACAAAACCAAACCCGGTGATGAGTACCTTTCACGTCGAATCATAATCGAATGAAGCGAAAGAGTGGAAAGTTTAGTGTTGCGGACGGTTTTAATTTATTTTCTCTTCTCTCTGTTTTTGAAAACCTATTTTTAAGAAAACAGTCAATCCAGTTTGGTTGGTCCATGATATGGGTCCAATAGAAGTGTAGTTGGATAGGGCTTGAAAAGAGCTTTCCAACGATATATTATAAGCCCAATTCCGATGAATATTGAGGAAGTTATGGCCAATTTACTAAACTGGGCCCGGTTTGAGCCTTATATGCGGCCCAATAATCTAGGGGAGGGCCTAATATGATTTATCATTCCAAGAATGGTTTTAGTCTTCTAGATTCTTCTAGAAGGTTCTTTTCATTCCTAATTCAGTTAGCATTGATAAATTGACTTTTGTTGACTTTTCAGAGTTTTAATTAAAATCAAAGAGCATTTTTGAGGAAAATACGATTTTATCCTCCTGTACGGCAATTTTTATCTGATTTTAGAAAACGCGTGAAATACTGAAATCAGCGCCAAACGCCAGCTGTAGCGCCTGGCGCCAACAACCAACGTTGGCGCTGGTTCGTTTTTCTGTGCGCCAGGACTCTGTTTTGTTAATTTTATCCTTTTGGCTGATTTTCTCTATAAATAACGTATTAAAAACTCCGTTTTCATTCACCTACAACCAGTTTTCATTCCCAATCATCAATTCTCGCATTCTCTAATCATTCACCATCTCTCTCTCCATCTCTTTTTTCTAAACTTGCTTTTGACATACAAAATTCCGCATTCATTAGATCTAGAAACACCTAGCCATATTCGAAGTTGCCTTCGCCCTAGACGTGAAAGGTTTAATTTCTGAGGGTTTGGTCCCAAATCTCTCTTTCAATTATTTAGTTTAATTGTTTTGATTTTATTATTTTCCTTGAAGTTACTAATGTGTGTATTTTGTTATTAGAAAGAGGTACGAGACGTCAAAGTAAGTGTTTTAATGGTTTTTATTGATGTTATGATGTAGAAATCATGTTTAATTTGTTATTATGATATTCCTTGTATCATGTCTAGGGTAGATTTAATATTAAATATGATTGTTATGATGTTTCCTATGTTCTTCCTAATATTTATTCATGTTAGTATCATGTTAGGGCTAAAGCTTTGATTTTTATTGCTTAGTGACATGCTAGGGTTTGTTATTAATCTTGTTAGTGTCATGCCTAGGATCTTGCTATTTTATTATGTTTTAACATAAATATTATTATTATTATTATTATTGTTATTATGATTATTATTTTGATTATTATTATGTTGCTTGATATTTTATTATTTATTGCTTGATCACGCCTTTTATGCATGTTTAAAGAGAATTTATACTTGTAATCACGCTTATATAAGATAATTAATAATCTTGTTTAGGGTTAATGTGATTATAATTCAAGTGATCGCCAATAATAATTCTTTTTGTGCATTAATATTCAACCAACATAGATAAACAAGTTTAGGGTTAATCCTATTGATTGTATGTTAATTAGAAAGCGCACATGAATACGATCAGAATAAAGTAGAGGCCTATTATTAGGGCATGTTCAATCTCTTTTAGGTTGAATTTGTACCTTCATCCCCGAACCCTTATTCGGTTCTAGACCTTATGGAGTTGACGATCTCTTGGATCGTTAAGGGGTGTAACCTTCACCCTGTGAACGGTTTACAAGTTCCTAAAACTTGTTGGCGACTCTTTTGCTCTATCTTCTTCCCTTTTGGACGCCACCGTACTTAAGTGTATGATCACAATGGGGTTCAAGCTAGGGGTTAACGCTTGAAAATTATTCCCCATAGTTAGCTGGCTTAAAAGCTATCAAATGGGCTCGTTTAAAAGGTTATCAACGCATTACGATTTTCACGGACTCAATAGCTCTTATACAACTCTTACGATATCCTAATCATAGGGAAATGAGACTACTATGGACTATCGGCGAACTGCTGAGGGAAGGACAACTTCTAGATAGGTGCACTTTTTGGAAAGTAAGTAGGGACCAACTAATAAGGGCTCATAATATTGTCAGTTGGTGTAGAAGTAATCTTAGTAGTTTTACGTTGTAAGTTTTTTCGTTTAGTTGCTTTTGCCAAAAAAAAAAACAATTAAAAGAATCGAAATGAGAAAAAAAAAAGTTGATTAATAATGACAATAAAATCAGAGAAATTAGGAGAAAAAAATGTTAGGAGAGAGAAAATGGAAATTAATTGAAAGAGAAAGAAATTCACGCTTTAAAATCATATGTAACAGAAAAGAAAAGTAAAAAAAAAGGAAAAAAAAAATTAGTTTAAAATGACATAAATTTGATTGTTGAAGAAAGGATGTAGTGAGGTGAAGTGTAGAGAGATATGGTGGGAAGGGGGCCAAGGGGGTGTAGGCAGCTATACGCCTGTTAGGGCTGAGCAAAACTACCCGAAAAACCGAAAACCCGAAAAATCGATCTGTAACTGTTCCGAAAATTAGGGTACCCGATCCCGATAACCATAACGGTTCGGGTACCCGTTCTGATAATTTGTTATCAGATATGGTTATGAGTATCATTTTAAAATTAACGGTTACCCGATCCGATTCGATAAACATTTTTTTTTGCTTTTTCCCCTACTTAAATCTATTAATATAAATCTAAACTTTTACTTTACTTCATAATCACTTTATAATATCAAGGATTAGTAATATTATTAATAATTTGGTCAAGATCATATGGTATTGTTTTTAATTAGTTGTAAATTATATCATAATAACTACATAATTAAGTTTAATTATCATTATTGGATATCTTATTGGGTACCCGATAACCGATCCAAAAATCCGGGTACCCGAAATCCGGGTACCTGAACTTATCGGTTCCGGTTATGGGTATCACTTTTAGTAATTTTGGTTATCGAGTACCCGTACCGTTGGTACTAACGGTATGGGTACCCGTCCCATGCTCACCCCTAATGTCCCCTGTACCTACAAGGAGGTGTAGGATAAAATTTGCAACTTATTTTTCATTTGACCAAACTTTATTCAACTAAACTAAAGTGAACTTAAATAAGCTTTTTTTTTTGAACGGCAACTTAAATAAGCTAAACCTATGCAATTAATCCAAGTGTCACCACGGTAAACCCCACAGGGGCTCGCAAAACTCATCCAAAATAATAAACTCAAAAATCAGGGGAGTGAAAGTGTTAAAAAAAAATGGGAGAAGAAAGAGCTTCATCTTCTTCATCATCATTAATGGCGACCATGGAAGAGGAGATGACGCTTACAGTAAAGTGGAGTGGAAAGGAGTACACTGTTCGAGTATGCGGCGACGATACTGTCGGTGAACTCAAGCGTCGTATTTGTCAAGTTACCGAAGTTCTTCCCAAGCGTCAGAAACTTCTTTACCCTAAAATTGTCGGCCCCAAGCTTGCCGATGATTCCACTCTTATCTCTCAACTCCCTTTTAAATCTTCTGTCAAAATGACCATGATCGGGTAATTCAATTATATTTTTATCGAATTGAATTGTATTTGAAGTTGATTATTCGCAATTTTTTTTGAATTTTATTTGAAGGGATGTTATGACATAGATGAATTTTGATTAAGCTTTGATAGTTTAATCTATAGACTCAATGAAATTTGATGAAGCAGTTATTTATTGATTATCAAAATGTAGTGCATAAACGGAGTATGAAAGAAATAACTTTGGTTGCATTTCGAGGATATTAAAGTATTAAACTAATGAGATTATCTTATATCTCTATTTCTAAAGGGATGCTTGCATTAGAGGTGCTGGATAGAGAGAAAAAAAAATTCGGGCAGAGTTGCGGAGATGGTGGGGGTTGGGCGAGTCGAGTGTTATAGTTCCCCACCACCCTACAAATGAACAGAAAAATTCTTTAGCCTCTTCTCTTCCAACTACCACCACCTTTTTGTAGACTCTGTATACCCTATTTAGTTCTCCCTCTTTCCAAATGTGCTTTAATAGTTAATAAATTTAACTTTTAGAATACATCAAGATGACCAAGAATAGATATTGTACAGTTGCATTTGACATAGCGGACTTATGGGTATTTACCGATTATTAGAATAAAGAGTTATGTGGAATTTACTCAAGTGCTTGGACATGCCAGAGTTTGTAGTTGATCCATATTTGCTTGGACTAGTGATCTGGGAAGTTATAAAAAGAAACATTATCTTACATGGTTTAATGTCTTGAATCTCCTTCATGGTTATGCGAAGGCCATTGATCTATGAGTTGATCATCACATTTGTCAATTGTAGGAGTAATTCATCCTGTCCTTTGATCTAGTGATACTATAGAGTTCAACTTTTTTTGAATATCCTAGTTCTACTAGATTGACTTTCGTATTCTGACTGCAATTTTACTGTGTCAATTTATAAATTAAATGGGGTTTATTCTAGTGTTTATCTGCTTTTTATCTTAAAGTCATCAATACATCTTGGCGATCTTGCTATTTTGCTCAAAGCCACTCTAATTCATATGGCAAGCAAAGATCAATTTCCTGACCACTTAAACAGCCTGGCATCGTGTTTGAAAATTTGCGATGAACATTATGTATATCAATTCTATAGTGAGTTGCCAAGGAATAATAAATGTACTTTTGCACGCCTAGATTGGGTGATGCCATTTCCAATCTTCAAGGCCTACGAGGAAGTGGAAGAAAACACAATTACTTTAGGAAGTGAAGGTAAAAAGTTAGAAAGAAAGTGTAACATGGTTCTCAATGGGGGATGTGACAGGCAGGGTTCTAGTGCTTGATTTTTTTTAAGGCAGAACTAGGGCTTAGCAAAACTATTTGAAAATTCGAAAATCCGATCTGAAAATAATGGATAACTGATCCGAAAATTTCGGATATCCTTTTTTTGAATTTCGGATATCCGATATAAAAAAAAGTCGGATATCGGATCGGATATCCGATCCAAAAATCCTAAATAATCAATTTTTCATCCTAAAAACTCGGATAACCCTAATTTCTAATTCCCTCACATCCGCCTCTCTCTCCTCTGCTTTCTCTTCTCTCTCCTCTTCTCTCTCTTCTCTCTTATCTCTCCTTTTTTTTTCTCAGAATTGAGTTTAGCCTCTTAGAACTTAGGCTCCTCCATGACTTCCCTTACTCCTTCACCATAAGTGACGAATACCTGAGTTCCCTTACTCCAGTCCTCCATGACTTCCCTTACTCCTCCACCATAAGCGGCGTTTACTGAGTTCTCTAACTCCTCTACCAGCGGCGACAACCTAAGTTCCCTTCTCCACCAGCCGCGGCAATTCGGAAACCAACATCTGGGTTTTTCGTAGTTCTTGTTTTAGTTTTTCTTACAAATAATGTATTAGGCGTTTAGGTGTTGTTCTTCTTTTGCTCAATTGCTCTATGTTCGTATGTTGTATGTTCATACGTTGGGAAAAAAATAGGGAAAAAAAAATCCAATTTTGCCATTAAGAAAACCCTGTAATTAAAGTAGTCGTATATTGGAACTATCCGATCTGAAAATTTCGGATACCTGAATGTTCGGATATCCGAAATTTTCAGATCGGATACGGATATCAAATATCCATATTTTCGGATACGGATATCCGACCCATGATCAGGCCTAGCCAGAACGACTTGAGTATTCAACTAAACTGTTTGTACAATAGGCTGGATGATAGTTTCAATCAATGATGCACGGGTACGCCAATGGAGTGTCGTTTCCCGTATCCGAAACGTATCGGGGACGGGTACGGGTACGCCTAGAATACGTCCCCAAACCGTCCCCTTCAAAAGTGTTACGCCAAGGCATTTTGGGGACGTTTAGCATCTTGATCGAAAACGTATCGGGTACGAAAAAGCCCAATGTGTGGCGTTTCCTATGAAAACCACCCATTTTAAAAAAAAAAACAAACCCCAAAAATTAGTATAATACCTACCTGATTGTCGATTTCCCCCAATTCTCAAAAGCCCTAAAACTTTCGAACTCTTATTTTGTTCCTCCAATAGTCGGATTTGATTCAAGGCGGCGATCGGAGCATTGATATACGATACGCGGGACGACGGCGTGTTGGATTTGTGGTGGTTCGCGATCTAGATTGTGTTTTTGTAGTCGAAATAATTTTCTATTTTCTTAAGTTTTTTAGATTTAATTAAAGGTTCAAATTCCATTAATGGAGGAAAATGAAGAAAGAAGTGAGTAGAAGGAAGGTCATTGACGGCTAACTTAATTTTTAAAACAAAATGGTGGACTTGCCCTTTTATCTTTTCTTTTTATTATTACTCCTAGTTTTTACTCTTTTTTTTTTTTTTTTTTTTTTTCTTTTTTTTTTACGTGTCAAAAAAAAATGTTTTTACTCTATTTACTAATTTAGTGCCTAGTTTTTAGTTATGTGCTTATGGTAGTGTACGGTGTAACATTTTATTTATTTTTTTGGTTAGATAGCTTATTACGGATAACTTTCCAATTAAAGTCTAATAAATTTAAAAGTCTAATAAAAAAGAAATTCTAATTTTAAAGTTGTGTTGTATGGATTAATTTATTTTTTAAAAAACTTTTTTATGGATTTATATTTTGTTGTTTTTTTTTGCCGTATCTGAGCCGTACCCGCTTTTTGAAATTTTGTTTTTTGCCATATCTTGTACCCGTATCCGTACCCGTTTTTGTCTCCGTATTCGTATCAGTGCAACCTAGGTTTCAATCATGGTGGTGACACTAAGGCAAATTAAAAATGTCTTGGTGAAAGTATTTGGCATCTTTTAAAATCACCTTGTGCTTAATCTATTCAATTTTTCACACTTGATAGCTCTTCCGAACCTTGGGAGATAGGCAGATAGCAATAAAACTATAATGGTAATGGTGGAGAAAGGTTGAAGGCTAGATAAATTGGAATGTTTAAGAATAAAACCATGTTGATGGAGAAAGGGTGAGAGATAGCAATTAAACCATGATGGTGATGGTTATGGTGGAGAAATAAAAAAAAAAAAAAAAGCAATAGTGGGTTATTGTGATGGGGTGAAATAATTTAATTATATTCAAGTGGAGAAATTAAATTATTATTCTTTATCCTATCTCTTACCCGCTAATGCTTATTTATTTATTTTTTTAATTTCTTTATTCTCTAAGATACCCTACTTGAATAATAATTAAATGAATTCAAATTTCTCCTAAAACTCTATGAAAGTTGAAGTGGAGTACTTATTACAAAACAAAAGGAGTTAGATTTTTTTGATAAGGGATTGAAGAGTACACCTTTTAATCTCATAATACAAAAAAAAATAAAAAAAATGCTACATGTTAAAGAATTTACCGATAGAAAAGTTTTGATTAATAAAAGGAGTAAAAGAGTGAAAGAAGATGGGTGAAATTGTTGTAGTGTTATCATTGTATTCTTACTTCTATGTCATTGTATTTATAGCCATGAGTTACACTAATAATACAATAATTACTCACATAGAGCCATATGAGTTCACAAGTGTTTGGACCTATATGAGCATTGTGTAATCAAATCAATAATTGGCATTCACTTATTAGACTTATCTTCTAACACTCCCCCTTGAATGCCACTAAAGATCTTGTTAGGTAAAACTTTATGGGATAAGACCCATAGCCAAAAGAGTACACCAATATTATTGTATTATATGCTTTGGTATACTGCCTCGTTAAAAACCTTGTCAGGAAAAACCCGGTGGGATAAAAACCTGATCGAAGGGAAAAAGAGTGCAGTACATATAATACTCCCCCTGATCTCAGCATAGTTCACGAAGATGTCGCATTCCGATTTTGTGAACTAACTGTTCAAATTTCTTCGAAGGAAGTGATTTGGTGAAAAGGTCGGCAAGATTTTCACAAGACTGAATTTGCTGGATATTTATTTCCTCGTCCTTTTGCAGATCATGTGTGAAGAACAGTTTTGGGGCAATATGTTTCGTTTTATCTCCTTTAATATATCCTTCAGTTACTTGAGCGATACATGCTGTATTGTCTTCAAAGATGATGGTTGGGTCTTCTGTTATTGCGTTCATTCCACACTCCTTTTGGATATTACTGATCATCGACCTCAGCCACACACATTCCCGTCCTGCTTCATAGAGGGCTATCAACTCTGCATGATTTGATGATGTCGCGGTCAATGTCTGCTTTGTTGATTTCCATGATATTGCAGTGCCGCCATAAGTGAATACATATCCATTTTGTGACTTGGCATTTTGAGGATCTGATAAGTATCCAGCGTCTGCATACCCAATGAGAGCAGCATCTTGTTTTGGTTGGTAATATAAACCAAGGTCTTGTGTCCCTCGTAGGTACCGGAGTAAGTGTCGAACTCCCTTCCAATGCCTATATGTTGGTGCATTGCTGTGCCTGGCTAACAAATTCACAGAGAAAGCTATGTCGGGTCTAGTATTGTTAGCTAAGTACATTAAGGCTCCAATTGCACTTAAGTATGGTACTTCTGGACCCAGAATCTCTTCATTTTCTTCTCGGGGTCTGAATGGATCATTTTT